CAGCTGCGGCCGCTGTGGCTGCCGGTAACAGTGTGGCATGGATGAGTACTGCACCCCCAGATCATTTCGACTATGATTATGTAATACTATTTCTCACTTGGCTATCTTGTAGTTTACTCTACCATACTCTGTGTGTGTTCGTCTCTAGTTGTATCATCTTTCATTATTTAGGTAGTACTCGGAGGAGGTAGTGGTGGTATGGCTTCGGCTAAAAAGGCTGCGGTAAGTTACGCTTGTGGGTTCAATGCGTTATCTATTCTAACCTGATCTGCATACCTTGTTGTTGATATTACGAATGATGTTCCTCTTCAGTCATATGGTGCCTCAACCTTACTATGTGATTTTGTCTCACCTTCTATCACTCGTGGAACCAAATGGGGTCTTGGTGGTACATGTGTTAATGTTGGCTGTATTCCGAAGAAGTTAATGCATTATACTGGCACTTTGGAAGGTATGTACTTACATAAATGATCATCAGTTCTTTCTGATGTTGTTATTATCATTGTCAGGCCAATTACGTGATGCCAAGCAACTGGGTTATACTGAGATCCCCGAGAAGAAGGCTGGTGATCACTATCAACATGACTGGAACACAATGGTTTCGGACATACAGATGTATATCAAGAAACTCAATTTCATGTATAGGACAGGCCTGAGGAACGGAGGGGTCAGTGGCCTGGCAGTTGGGATTGTTGTTTATTATTGTTGTTATGTTCAGGTTGAATATGAGAATGCCTGGGGATGCTTTGACCCTGAGGCTGGTCCACACACTGTTAAGCTTACCAACAAGAAGGGAGAGGTTCGAACAGTTACTGCTAAGAACGTACTCGTTGCAACTGGTGGCAGGCCTCGAATTCTGGATATTCCTGGAGGTAATATCGTCATGGCTCTATTACGTTAGTATGTACTATCTCCAACTGTCAGCTCGGGAGCATGGTATCACCTCGGATGATCTATTCTCTCTCCATACACCACCAGGAAAGACTTTGGTAATCGGTTCCCGATACATTGCTCTTGAGTGTAAGC